AGTCTACTATGTACTCACACCAGTTAATACTTGACACATCTTTGCATTGAATTAACCTTTCAATAAAATTAATTCTACAAGACCCCATCGTCTCTGTTTCAGCAAAAGTGTTAATGAATAAAGTCAAGAAATTCAGCTTAAACATCTCATCCGCAACATCTGTTTTCCTTATATTCTTCAAATAGTTCCCATTATAATAATTTCCCTTCCCATATAGTCCTTTCCAAGCCTCAAGCAACGGATCATTCTTATCACATTCATCCAGTGTCTTAAAATCCAAACCCTTATTCGGAAGTCTAAACATAGCTTCAATTGTCTCGTTTGTTATGGCCATTTCACCACTTTTAACCCTTATTGAGCACGAACTAGTTGTGAAGCTATTTACAACAAAATATGCTAGCTTTCCTGGTAGTGTATCAATCTTCATACCCAAAAAAAATCCAAAACCCATATTGCGTACCATTTCTCGCTGATTTTTTGACAAACTTTTAATTGCTAGATACAACGAGTTTGGAGACATACGAGTACTCAACCTTTGAAATTATGTTCCTACCTTCCCTTCTTTACATTTATCCTCACATCCAATTACTTTTTTCCCTTTCACATTAACCTTTTTATCCCTAACAATCTTTTCAACCCTTTTCCTTTTCATTTTGTTATCATTCTTTTCAGATTCCATCTTATTTTTTCTCTCAACAAAATCATCATCACTGCTGTCATTCTTCTTTGCTTTTCCATTGTTAGTCTTTTACATTCATCATAGCATTCTTTCCTTCAAGTACACAGACACTTGATGAACCTGTACATTGTTATCATCATAATCAATCTTACATTTTACAAACAAATTATAGAAGTAAACTTCTTCACACATTATTTGTTTTTCTAATGTCAACGTGTTGGATTACTAGAATAGCAGTTTTGAATATTCTTCATGTATATAATATTATTACCTTTTAGCAAACAACATTTAAGACATACCACACTAGATTTACCACATTCCATGCACTCCTTTACATATTATATGTTCTAACATTTATGCATGATTTCATATAATCAGAAATGAATACACATTCAATGTTAACATGCTCATTACAGAATTTTGACTCCTTTACAACACGTTCATACGAGCACACTTCTTCATTAATTACTTCTTTTATAATATCAAAGTATTGGCCTAAGAGGAAAACAGTTTTGAATACTCAACATTGATTTTATTCTGCATGTATAAAAAAATTATTACCTTTTAGCAAACAAAATTTAATACATACCAAAATACATTTACCACATACCATGCACTCCTTTACCTATTATATGTTGAAATCAATACAGAATTTTGACTTAGAAATGAATACACATTCATACGCGCATATATTCAAAAATGAATACACATTCATAGGCGCATACTTCTTCATTCAATAACAATTTTCTAATCTCAAAGTATGGGCCTAAAAGGAAAACAGTTTTCAATATTAATCATAGAAAACAATTTATTAGTTTGAAACAATAATGATTTACTGTAACGCCCGTAGATCTGGGCTAGTCAATTTAGAGATAATACAAAAGATTATTTAGAATAAATAATCTTAACCAAGTTGTAGAATATGTCTCAAGGGTTCCGTACATATAAAGAACGCCGAAATCCGAGTTATAATGAAGATGTTATGGTCCGTCGAAGTTTTACGGCAAAACCGGCACGACACCGGGAGACGTAAATACTGAATTTTTGATAAAGGACTTTTTAGCCTTAGTGATCTAAATAAAAGTTGTAGTATACATTAAACCGAGAACATACAAAAAAAGAACGCCCAAATCTGACTCCGTATAAGGAAGTTATGAATTTTCTAAGATTTGGCATAGCAGTGCACGGCCCGAAACTCGAATTTTAGTTCGAGCGGTTTTTGGCCTACACAACAATAATGAGAATTGAAGATCTCATTAATAGGAACTCAACGGTAAAAAGACAGACGAAAACAAAGTCTGTATGTAGAAGTTATGAATTTTACGCGGACATTTAACAGTATAATCTCCTCGTCCTGTTAAATTTAAGATCGGTCGAGAATTAGCCGATGGAGTCAAAATGAAAGTTGTAGATCTTATTTTTACCTACGCGTGGATATAAAGAACGTCAAAAACGGAGGTCGTATGTGAAAGTTACGGATTTTAGAAGTCGGAAGTGTGCTGTGCGAAAATGGGTGATGTGGCACAATCTTGGCCATTGCTTTCTCCCCAAGTCTTGCCACTAGATGGTGACATGTGGCACCAAGTTCAGCCATTTTTCACCCTATAAATAGAATCACTCGCACCCTCATTTTCTTCACACCTTTCCCATTCTTTTCTTCTCTTTACTCTCTCTCTAGAACCTCTCTCTAGCCCGAAACCCCCGAAAAGCCTAGGGAACTCCCTAGCACGAGGCAAAAGCCCCGGAGTGCTCGACGGCTCCGAGAAGAAGAGCTTTTCGGCTCGGGAACGCTGCTCCAAGCAAACCCCGGTTTTCTATAAAACCCGTTGTAAGTGAGCTACGCCTACGCTATTTTTAATATATCGTTTATTTAATTATAGTAGCGTTATTAGGAACTTATAATAAGTACTTGGGCTATTATTATGGGTTATATAAGTATTTTTTTTAACGCTTATATAATAGTAATAATAGCTAGACTATTAATTAGTCTCGACGAATAATAGACTAAACTCTAGTGGTAATAATACTACGTTTCGTCGAAGGAAATTTTTTTAGAAGCGAAGCGCTGTCTGAGTTCGGAATCACCACCTTTTCAAGTGAGTGCATGGTCCCTTTCATCTTACACATAGATATGAAGTATTTTATATAAATTACGTGCTATGTGTGCATATTATCTTAATACTTGCTGTCTATGATGGATGAATGATTTTATACATGTTTAAATGATTTAAATATATTTATTTTATATCTACAAATATGTTGGGATAAAACATGGGTAGATGAAATAGTTGGTGTGTGATGAAATAAAATGATGAGAGATAGGTGATGATAGGAAGGTGATGATAATTAGGTGATGGATAGTGATGATGAATCGGTGATGTAGGATGAAAGATACTATAACCTTGTCCGACAATTTGGAGATGTAGTCATCTACTAGAGTATAGATGGCGACCACGGACTATTCTAGACAACCCGTGGAAACACCAGCAGACTTATAACCTGTAGGTGATGAATTACGAGTCCAGGTGATGTTGTGACTGTATATTCATGTGATGATACTCTAACCCTTACTATGAATTCGAGTTCAGGCGACGTGTTGTAACTACGTATTCATGCCTTAGGAACGAGCATATAAGGAAATGTGATGTAAAAAGATGAGAGGTAAATACGACATAGGAGATGACCCTTAAGATAATTCTTTAGGGAATATTAAATGAAGAAAATGGGGATGGGTAATTGGGTTGATTGTTTGATTGTTTAAACATAATAATTATATTATTGTGGGTTGAAAACCCTATGTACTCACCAGGTTTCCCAACCTGACCCACTCAAGCTTATTTGTATCACAGGTGTCGATATGAAGCTACTTTAAACTGAGAGATTTAAAAGAGATGTAGATCACTAGTGTAAATGAATGTAAGTTCTGTTTATGCTTATGTTTCTGTATTGACGATGACATCCCAATGTTTTGAAAATGAATGAAATACATTTCTTCGGAAATGATTTGATAACGTATTTATCATGTTTTTCTGGGAACAAATTCCGCAACATTTTTATTAAAAGAGGTACTCTGATTTTTATAAAGCATAAACAAAATCGGTCTTTTCTGGCCGTGAAAATGGAGATGTCACATTTACCATATATCATTTTATCCTTTACATATTTTATGTTTCCAGTTTAATCATCCTAATGATTCCATATACTCATAGATGAATAAATCTACCCTAATGCATAACAAATATCAACAATTTCACTTTTAAGATGCTCAATTGTCTACATTCTTCTTAATCTATTGCATAATTGTTTACATCCTTCTTAATCATCAAGAGATACGTTGGTCAACAACTCCATCACATACTCTTTAAATCATACTCTTTAAATCATATTTGCATATATCTCCATCACATACTCTTTCAATCATACTCTTTAAATCATATTTGCATATATTTGCATTCCACACAGAATATTGACTCATATAATACACATTCATACGCACCAAATCATTCACAGTCAAGACCATATCACTTAACAACAAAAAAATTGAAAACAAAACCTAATTTCACAAAACACTGTCATTTAGTACCAAATACTTGTCAACCAACTTCATTTTTACCGACAATCAACAAACAAACCCTAATTTCTCAAAAACCCTCAACGAAAAAACCCTAATTACAAATGTACATAAACAAAAAAACAAAATCTTTATGTTACCTGATTCAATGTACAAGACGTCGACTAGATCAAGATCGATAGCATTGTCAGTCGTGTTAGTAAACTTTGATTGAAAATCGATTCCATCATTCTTGGACTCCTTCTTAAGCTCTGTGATCTCGTCCACCTCATCTCGCTTCAAATTTATAACATAAAACGATTAACCTAATCTTTTGGTATTTTTTATGAAGATTCTGTGAAGATCATTTGACCCAAATGAAAACGATCTAGGTAGATTTTCCCGCGAGGGTTTATCGGGAGCCGTTTCTTATTTGATACAATTACCTTTATTTATCATTAGCGACTGTTATATACTTCTCATTAAAGACATATAAATCACTCTTGAACATGATAGAATACATATTAATCACGATTGATTAATCTTGACCCTTAAATAAAACAAAATTGAGGCCTTTCAACATTTTGATGAACAATACATAACATTTAACTAAAACATACATCAATATCCACTTTCATGTAAAACATCTAGAGCAAAAAATAAAAGTCGAAATCCAAAGAAAAGTACAACTTTCACTAGACGAGATACAAGTCTATAAGTTTATCGCTCTAGAGTCTAGATTCGACAGCATCGATGGAAGAAAAAGGATTTATAACCTTCCACGATACTCCATGAGTAACCAATAATAATAATAATAATACACAAGTGTGTTGTGAAAACTGAAAAGACCCTTGTTGTAAAATATTATTTCCTAAAATACCCCCCAACAACAAAACAAACTTGACATATCATTTTTCGAATCATTTCCCTCTATATTTACAACAAATCTCCCAACCACCAACCACACGGTTAGGTTAGCCATCGAATGTATTTTTGTGTGTTTTGTCTGTCATAAAACCCCCACGTGCCCGCCTACCCATCCATGCCTTTTCGCAGGCCACAACCCCAAAATGATAATTTCACAGGGTTTGACTTTTTGACTTTTTGGGAGGTGTGGTGTAATCAGCTGTCATCATCTATAGCACCGATGTAAGTGAGGTCCATCCTCCGGACCCTCACTGCACCCTTGAGCCAGGTGGACGCTTTCAGATTCGCGTGATCCGTCCCCGCGATTGCGGATCCATTTATGGAAGATGGGCCTGACCCGGCTCCGTCTTCTAGAAGGGTCCACGGGTCGATTTCGGTATCCGGGTCGGGTTGTGATGAGGGTATGGGTGGGGGTATGGGTTTGGTGGGTTTTGTTGGACCGTTTGAGGTGGCTCGTGATGGCATGTTCCGGATGGTTCCAGAAGCGGGTACAGGTACGGGTGGTTGGAGAGAGGTGATGGCTGACAAAGGGATGTTTGGTGGCTGGCAGGAGATTGTGAACTTTAAGGAGGGGAAAACGAATGGCATTGCAGTTTGTATCCGCCACCTCACCGCTTCCGGAAGTTGCATGTTGTCCAGCTCATTCTGCACCATTTTTTATCAATATATTAATATTAATATTTATTTATAAGTTATAACAAGTAAATAAACAAAAGTAGGTTGCTATTTTTTGTTTATAGATTTATTTATACCTGCAAGCTTTCGGCGGCTTCACGATCATATAAATTTGTGGTGGTTGTGGTGGTGGTGGTGGCTTCAATGGTGGACTTGGAGAGAGTTTTGGGTTTCATCCAGTGTGGCTGACACCCACTCAAGAGTGCATGCAGCACCAATAATAAACGGTCAAAAAGACTTCCACCAAGATCAACGGTCCCAGATGATTCGATCATGGACTCCACTTCTCTCTTGATGGAAAATCTTGAAGCTGGGCTAGAAAGATCTGCATCTTCATGTACAACTCTGCTTCCAAGTAGACGAAGGACCACTGAAGCTAGCATGTGCCTCATGCTACGTGATGATGGCTCCCTAAACATTCAAACACATAAGATTAAGATTCAATCAACATATTTAAGTTATAAATAAATAAAAAAATAAAATAAAAAACTTACCCATCAGCACAGATTACAGGAAGCAGTCTTAACAGCAACTGTAAACGCAACGACATGGAAGACCTCAAAGCCGAAGGTGAAGGTAGAATCACTTCAACGGGTGGTGGATTCCGTCTCGCTAATCCCGGACTCCCGCCTCTGATTCCCTTCCTTGTATTCGCTTTACTCACCGGACCCTCAGCTCCGGAAACAGCCATTCCGGCCTGTTTATTCGCTCCATTTGTAACCCCGCTTATCTGTTGCTCAATCTCATTCATCTGTTTAATCAAATCACCTGCAAACGTAACCCGTGAATCCTCCGAACTTTCATCAATACACGGAAGCAATAATTCCACCAAAGCCCTTTCCGTCACATTCTGTTGCGTAACCACAAATGCTTCAATATTCGTATTCCGTTTCGTTTCGATTCCGTTCCCGTCTTCCACCACTTCCCCTTCTTCGACAACCTCAAACTTGCGTTTCTGATTCCCTTTCTTCAACCCCGGAATGGAATTACTTCCATTACACCAACCCCACGGTTTCGAAAACTGGGGTTTAGTCGAAAGCCCTTTACTATCGGCTATATTAATTAACCTTTGTCTAATCGACTTCCTCCCAAATAAAACATCATGTCCTCTGAGAAACCATTTAGCTTGTAGTAAAACTTCATCTTCTAAAGATCTCCCCAAAAGGTGGACTACTTCTGAAAAAAGTGGGGCCGCATCGGGTCTGACCAAAAGCCGGGTCAACACCATTTGAATGAAATTATTTTCATTCTCAGAAGTCCCATCTGGTGAAAAAGAGTTCAAAGCTTCAACCAAAGAAGCATCACGACCTTCCATTTTTTCAATTAAAGCCTGTTCGTTTAACAATAGTCTAAGTTCGACCCATTGCCAATGAAACTTCGCAGGTTGTAAAGTATCAAGAATGTGTACGAGTTTTTCGAGAAGCGACTCAGAATGTCCGGAAACACGACTCGCATCCTCCGGATTCACCAATTCTGGAGGTAATTGACAATCAATGATGGAGTTTAAAAAGACCCGGGCACGCAACGGGACAAACGCGGAAACTTTTGGGGCGTTGGAATCGAGGAATGCTGCGAATTCAGAATCGGTGGGGTCCGAGGCTACAAGATCGTATAATGTTGAACATTCACGGAGGCATACGTCACGGAAAGGTAAATGCTTGATGGCATCAGTGATTCCAGAGGTTAAAGATTGGAATAACTGTGTGATGTTGTCACGGGTGATGACATTCGGGTTTAGAATGAACCGTTTCCATATTAAAAACCCGAAAATGGCAAATGCGGGAGGGAAGACTAAGTTGACCGGAAGCATTCTTTGGATTCTTGTAAGGGCAATTATGGAAGATTCACCCAAAAGTTCGACTATGAACCCGTCGGAAACGGTTCTGGTGTTACCGATTAAAACACGGAACCAATGAACCGAAACTTCAACCAAATTATCAATTTTCGAATCGTTGACTGGCGTTGACCGGACATTTCCATTCGAGTTTGACCGTGTTGACCTAACAAACTGAATCACATTCAGCCCTTCTTTCAGTCTAAAAACAGTCACCATTCTTTCAAGACTCGCAATCCCCTGAAGAACCGCCCCAATAACAAGAGCGGAAATCGCACCGGTTGTTTTAGCAGGTTTGGAATACGTTTTTTCGTTGGACGAATTTACCCCTGGATCACGGGTATCGGGGGAAAGCTGTAGTTGACCACGGGAAGCTTTCGGAGGGGTAAATACTTGGGAAAGTGCAGAAGAAGCTTCTGTTGCAAGGGCGATTTCGAACACTCGACTTTGTCGTTCACCTAATGCGTCCTTTAGTAGGGACAAAATCGTCAAATGAATCTTTAATATATGTCTTGCAAATAAACAACTCGCCGGGGTTATTTCGGTAATTTTACCAATCACTTGTCCGACATTAGTTACGACTGCGGAAACCGCAAAGGCAACTAAAGTCGGGTCGCCTTCTTGGGCTGCCCCGCCCGTTTGTCTCATGCAATCTAACAACCCTTTTACGACTTGTTGGGCTATCGGGTACCCGTCATCCACGGGTCGTTTGACCGGGAAGGTTGACTTTTTGTCTTGACCGTAAAATGAAGGGATGTTTTCGTCTATAAGTCTTTGGACGGTGTCACGCATGCCCAAACCAACTCTGGAAATACGAATTCCGGTGATTTTTTGGCGGAGGAACTCGTCGAAATCTTGGATTCCGGCCGGGACACCGAGTGGGAAACCAAACTCGCCGTCTGATGATCGGCCGGATTCGAGTTCCATGATGAGTCTTTTATCGGATGTTGTTTTGAAGGTCTTTGACCAGTCAATGACGGTTGCCACGTCAGCGTATTTTTTTAACATTTGGCGGGAAAAGATTAAAGATGGGGAACCGGAAAGACGGCCATTGGAAGACATGACTAGTGATGCTCGATGCATCATCGCGGTTAAAGTTTCCGGAATGAGATCAGCTGCAGCAAGGATGTTTTCATACCTGAAATAATAACATTCCATATCATTATAGCTATATGTACTTTGAAAAAATCATCTTGTTTATATTATTGTCATTCGAATGGTCATATTAAAGCAAAAAATTGGAAAGTGGAATGCTATAATTGGGTGGATTGTTAAAAAGGAGAAATAACAGAATGTAAAGTGTTGTAATAGAAGAAATGAAAGTAGGATGCTATGCTATAAGCCTATAAGACAGAATTAAATAAAAGTAAGAGCTGCAAACCTTTTAAGAGATGATAAAATATACGCCTCTCCAACTGCACACAATTGGTTTTCAACATTCCTTGGAACAATCATGACATTCCTCCCTCCATGAACAGTAGGAATCGGATTGACATGAACCTTAGGCAACAACCAAACAAGAAATCTAGCAGCAGAAACCAAATCATCACAAACATCCATCAAATACAGTATATTAGATAATTCATCTTCACCAAGTTTCCATTTTCCCAACCCTTTATCATCAACAACCGGTAGATTCCGGCCAAACTGACCGGATTTTGGTCCGGAATCAGTCACCTTTCCGGCCTCTTCAACGAGTTGTTTCACAATACCCATCAACCAAACAACAATAACCCTCTTCTCATCTAATGGGATCCGTTTAATTACTTTCCCGATCGAAGAAATGTCTCTGGAATTACTGATTCCGGCAGAATTGGTGATTCCGACGGAATCTGGTGGTTTAGGGACATCGGTGCCATTTCGATGATGAGGGCAGTTTACTCTACTGTCGCATACATGACTAGTGGATGCCCCTTGACTACCTTCAATTCTAGCAGCTGCTAATTGGGCGAGACTTTGGGTTTTCCTCACGATTTTTTGTCTCCCTCTTGTGGGTTGCTTTATGGGTTTCACGGGCGGGTCAACCCGGAAAGAATCCATGGGTTTAACAGTAACACCACCTTTTCTAACCCACCAAATATCCTCATCATCTGACAAATGAAGAAACGGGCTCTTTTCTTCAACTTTTTGTCTCTTGGCTCTTCTACATTCTTCACATCCAGGTGTTGGTCCTTCGCTAACTACCGGCCCAACGGGCCTTTTTACACCATGGGAATCATCAATTCCGTTTCCGTTGGAATTCGGAAAGTGGAGGAGAACCGAAATCGAAGCCATTACTTCTTCAATCTTGACATTTTTCGGCGAAGGTATTCTACCAAACTTATGATTGTTTTTTCCATTTGTGGTAATAACATTTTCATGAAGTAAAAGCCGCCTTTCGTTTGTATAAATCTGCATGGCTTCAGAGATAAGCGACACATCAGCAATCTGTGCTTCTTCTAGTGAATCTTGAACATAAGACCCAGGAAGATGTTTCAAGAGCTTATAATGTCTCCTTTTCCTTTCAATGTCAAGTAAATTGTCGTTCTTACCCATGATCCCACTAACAATAAGCTCTCTCACATATGCTTGAGGGTAAAAAATACCCGATCGAGTCAACTCGGTTATCAATAACTGAACCCGTTTAAACCCTTCTCCATTTTGAACCTGGTGTTGATCAAGCCAACAGACAATAACATCATGCAACGGGCCCGGACTCTGAAAGAAACGAGACAAATCTTTGACTTTTCTTCTCTTGTTTCTCATTTTCATCGAGAGAATCCTGGTGGCGATATATATCTGTGAAAAGTCTCTTTTGCCACTGAACTTCACACCTTCAACAGGGGCATTCCTGGAATCCCGAAAATCACATGTGGCCCACTCGCACACAAAAAAAACCGAACACACAAACGCCGAGTTCACCGTTCCGACCCATTTCAGAGACGACTGTAGACTCGCGCTGACATCAGCCATCCACCTTTTATCAACATTCTCATCATTAAAATCCTCAAACAAACATTTATACGCGTTAACAATATCCCCATGTGTAACAGCTTTATCCAGTTCACGAACCGATTTCGCAACATTATGCCCCGGGTACCCTGGCCTCGCAGCTCTCGCGAGATTCATCGTGCATTTCTGAATGGAGTACACGAGAGTTTCGATTGACGAAAATGGTCCCTGAAGTTCAGAAGATGTGGCGGGTTTGACCCTTGTGATTAAGGAGTTATTGTCGGTGGTGGGATTTGAGAGGATTGAAGGTGGTAAAGGGAAGCAGTTTAGGGAAACGAAAGTGTCGGGGACTGCGAGGATTAGGTATCGGAGGATTTCGATTAGGGCGGACATGGTGTAGGCCCTACGGGAATTTTCCACAAGGTCGGATCCTCCGGGTGAGGGTTCATGGATGAAACGGATTGCGATTGCGACAAGTGTACGCACATAGTTTTGAGATAAGATGATTGTTTCTATGACACCATATATGATTGGTAATAGTAGTTGTAGTGTCCCCAGTGATTCCTTCTCCTGAAAGTGATCAAAATGGTGTGTTATTAATTATGGAATCAGAGATGGAATGGAAACACTATCACTATCTAACAGACACTACTAAAGTAGAATACCTGCAACTGATTGAGAACCCAATCGATAATCAAAGAAGGCAAAAGCAACCCTTCAGCATGATGCCACTGTATAATCCTCACCACATACCACCATTTAAAATGCACAGACGGCTCCTCACCATCAACAACCGCCAACACATCGTTCTTATGCTGGACCCCACCACCATAAGCAAACTGAGGAGACCGGTCCTTCAGGTGAAGGGTAGAATGGGAATTATTTTTTGAAACAAATTCATCCAAAAGATACTGTAAATACTCAATAACATCCTTCGTCCACTGATCTGACCGCAAAAACCGAGTCTTGTCAGGCGAACCGGAAGACGTACAAGACCCAGGCCGAACCTGCAACAGTTTTTGAAGAAAAAAAGAAAATGACAAAAATGCCCTTGGATTAAGGTTTAGGGTTTTGGGTATTGATTTAATTAATCCATACCTGATTGAGATAAGTTACTTTGATAAACCAAGTTGCCCTTAATAAAGGTACATTGTTTCTAATAAGAACTTCAAAAAGTGATTTCCTTCTATACCCATGAGGAACATGATCAGCTAATGATCGCAAACGTTTATGTTGTTGCGATAATCCCTGTAGGATAAGGGTCAAAAGTGTCAAATTATGTTACTATTTCATGTCTTCTGATAAATATATATCAAAAGTCCCAATGATATAGTTCTGAAATGTGATTTTAAACAAATGAAGAGCAATAATGTATTACAATATGGATGTACACTAAACAAGATGAAGGTAAAATGTCAAGTAACATATAATATGTCATCAAAATTTAATAACTTTTATGGTTTAACAATATATTTTGGGTAATTTTACAGTTTAACCACTTATACTACTATGTTTCCTGATATAACCATAAAATTTAATAACTTTTATGGTTTGATTGGAAAATGATAAAGTAGTGGTGGTTAAACCCGCAAAACTACCAAAGATACAAGGGTGTTTTTGTAATTTACCCAAGAGTATTTTACTTCACATGGATACTAAAAAGACAAACCTCAATCCATTTCTTCCGGAAATCTTCACCACTAGCTTTTTGTTCTGGAAAAAAACCAGGCTTACTCAATAAATTACCAGTAAGAGGAACTCCATAAACTTGACCAGCCTGTAACACAAACGTATACAATTTTAAGATTACAAATAATATATATAAATAAATAAACAAATGCAAAAAATAGTAATATTAAATATTACTTATTATACCTTGCGTTTTTGAGCACGAGATTCATTGATTGCTCTGTGATATTTTCTAATTGCCTCCTTGCATTTTAAAATGACAGGCTTTGTGAAAGTTGGAATCTGTGATAAAGAGATCTCTCTTGATTCCTGTAAGACAAAGTTCAAAATGACAATGAATAAATCGGAAATGGAATGTGCTATGAATATGATCGTTATAAATACTAAATAGCATGATACTGTAAGACAAAGTAGGAAATATACTTTATACTTTGCCCATAAATTCATGATAGCTATGTATTTACATTTCTTTACTCATGATAACAAATAATAACATAAAGTTTCCCTTATCAATAGAGTAGATGACGTTCTTTATAAAATGATAACTAATGAATTATTTAAACAAGTTTTAAGGCATACCTCAAGCCCCTCAACTGTTTCTCTGTATCCACCCAATACATAGTCTTTTGTAAGTGTCTCCTCTGGGCAATTTGCAGTTGGAGGGTGAAAGTCTGGTGGTGGTAGCCTGACAAACAGAAGGGTAAAAGAGTCAACAAAAAAATACAAATAATATAAAAAGGTAAATAAGATTAAAAAGGTTACCTTGAATTCAGGGGTTCTTTCTCACACCTCAATTTGTATGGTGCAAGTTGTGAAGTACGCCTGGAAAATAAAAATAAAACATAATTTAACTCATTTCAATAATGAGAAGTTAAGAACATACTAAAAATAGTAATAAAATTAAAAGCATACCGATTTAATGGAAAGTTAGCTGGAAGGGAAGATGACTCAGCACGGGAAGTATTATCCCTGCCTAATGAGCCACCAACTGCACTGTTATTGACTGCACTAGTGCAGTTGGTAGCATGATACCTTTGCATTTCTATAAACTATGGCCCGCATACTGTCTCCCACATTGAATAAACTGCAACAAATATAGCAGTCAATTTTTATTTATTTATTATAGCATCTTACTTTTACTTCTTCCTATTACATCATTGTACTTTGAATAATCTACCTAATTATGATTGGCTAGATTTTTCAAAGTACAATGTCGTAATAAGAAAAAAGATGAAAGGGCAATGCTATAATTGGGTAGATTTTTTGAAGTACAAAGTCTTAATAAGAAAAAAAAAATAAGTGAAAATACAATGTTGTGATAGAAAGAAATGAAAGTTGGACGTTATGCTATGCTGAACAAATAGATAAAAGTACATTGCTACTTCTTGCATTTAGCCCTATAAAGTAATGCATACAACTTGCTTTTACACTTTTCAGCTAAATTTCAGGTTAAGTTTGCTGGACTTGAACATCAGCAGCACCTGCAAATTTTTCCTCTCGAATAATAGAAAAATAGAAGAAATAGGAAGAAAGAAATAAAACAGAAAAAAACCAATATGGGAAAGTAATAAAATAGAAAAACCAATTTGGGAAGCATAATCTCTAGCTTAACAATCAACGTGTCGTGGACCAATGTACTTGTTAACGGAACTCGATTAAAAAGATGGAAATTTTGCAATAAATGGTAAAATACTGTCACTTTATTTCTAATTTGGTCGCTAGATTTTAAAATTTGTTACTTAAACCATTGTACTTTTCAGATATAATCATGTTGGGTAATTTCAAACAAAAAAACCTACAACATGTAGACAAATTTAAATGGTTTGAAAAGGTTTTCGAAAACTAGATGGTTTTACTAACAAACTTTACAATCCAATGACAAAATTAGAAATGAAGTGAAAGTGTGTTGCTATTTACTGCAATTTCTCCTATGAAGATGTAGGAAACTTCTAAATGAAGTAAAGCCCTAAGACTTAGTTTCAAGTTACTGATAACCATATAATCACACAAAGTTCAATTCAAAATTGCTAAATTAATATTGTCTGATCAAGTAGTTTAAGATCTCCAAGCATCATTAGCTTTTCATTTCTTGAGCCCATACATCAGTACCCAAGTTTAGAAACCATTTGATGATACAAACAACAGGATGTGGCCTGACATTTGATCTAGGGTTAGAGGCAAGGTTAAACATTTCATCATAAAGAAAGAACAGCACAAAAAACCATGTAAGTATTCTCTTTATTACTAGTACACAAAGTTTCATAGTCCGTAGTCACTGATTGACACAAAAAACATCAACTGATCAATCAGATCACGGTGATCCTCGAATTTCTCGTGATACACTATCAGGTATAAACAATTTAAAACATCCTCATGCTTTACTTAACTCTTAAGTGTACTCAAAATATCAGCTCATATACACCAGAACATTGAAAAAGAAGTAAATTTAAATGCCCAGGATTCCAAAGTAAACTCATAAAACGACGAAAGTAAAACAAACAATTCGGTAGCAAAACACCCATTAAATCCATAACATGGCAGCAAATTTAAGCATACCTTTGAAATCAAGCAGAAGCTTTACGAAAAAAACCCCAAATCAAGTTCGAAACATGCAAACCCCAGTTGTTGGTAGTTCGAGAAACGGAAACTAGGGTTTCTGAGGGCTGTCAGTGAAACTAGGGTTTTGAAGCCCAAGAACAAGAAATCAACAAGGGTAAAGTGTGCGATGCGAATTACAGATGCCAAATATGTAGATATATATGTATAATCGAATAAAAATGTCGAAGAGATTAGGGATTTGAAATTTGAGAAAGACGAATCGTGTGTATAGAGAGAGATATATTAGATACAGAGGGAGAGAGATTGGGGCTTTTGACCCTTTTTTATTTTTTATTTTTTATTAATTTTTTTCATGATGACGACGACCAAACTATAGGAGTGAAATGGTAAATTTTGTAAAGATGAGGGGGAGATTATGAAAACTATTTATCTAATTAAAACCATCTTAGAGAAAATAAAACAGTAAAATGCATATGCTTAAACAAAAATATTCTTTGTGTGCTGAGTGGATGGTTAAATAGTCCTTTGATAACTTTGGTGTATTTTGACTATTTGAATGGTCAAAGAGTAAAGACCCAATTGCAAAACTAGTGAAAACTAATTAAGGGTTACACAAAGTGATTGTATCTTTGTAAAAGAGATAAAAGAGATTCATAGTTGATATTTAAAATATAGTTCAATAAATAGAAACTATATAAATAAAAATTATCTAGATAGCTTACAGTGGTTAAACAATCTATGAAAAAAATTAAAATAGAGTTTCATAACGATAAAACATTGTTTTTTTTTTTGCAATATTTATTTTGTTGACATATAAAACATGTGTTTTTCATCTTCTTTTAAATAAAATAAAGATTAGAAAAAAGAGCTATGACGTGAAAGAATGTTGCTTGATTATCTCATATGAAAGAACAATTGAAATTTCACGTGTTTTATATATGATATAGCAAATTATAACTTAATATGGCGGGTAATTATTAACCATCCGTAATAAAAGCAATCAAGATCATGTAATTTGTTTTGAGACATTGCTACAAACATAAACATGTGATATTGAATAATTTTATTTGGGAGCTGATCCGTACACAATAATTTTTTTTCATACACAACAATTGGTGCTTTAAAATTTTGTATTGTACAACTATATAATGCATAAATTGTTGTGTGTGCAAAAAACTGTTGTGTACGAATCAATTCCCATATTATTTACATGAGAGGGATGAAAAACAATCTCTCAAAATTGAATGAGAGATAGATGTGTGAATAAGAACCTTCAAGCTGAAGGAGAATGTAGTGTCAAAATAATGTATATAATTATTAATATCCAATAATATGATTATAAAATCATGAGTAAGACTAAGTATTACCAATGACATAGCTAACTTTTAGTCTTTTTATAACATAGATGGTTGTCAAATGTAACTATACATTTTTTACACTATTTTGAAAATGTAATTAAAAAAGGAAAAACAAAAACATGAGAATACCTAATTTACAAATTATTTATATTCATCATCAAAGTCTTATGTGCTTAAGCTCCCATCTTTGTTTTGTATGTTTGTTAGTAGCATGCATGCAATTTGATTTTGTTGTTAATACACATTTATGAATATTTAAGAAGCACGTGCTTAAAAACATTTGCTTATATAGCAAATAACTGTCAGATTGACAATATAACGTATATGCACCGTACTAAAATCAAGTTATGTATATAGTTACATATGTGTGATGACGTTATTAAGATATGACATGATCTTGACCATATATTATCCATTAGGGCGGCACTAATATAGGTAATAAAATAGGCATGATTGTTGTGTATAGACGTCATCTATGGAAACAATTTGATATTGGTGAATTGTTTTGTTATCTTGTCGTATCCATATCACATTGATGACATGTTTGTATCGGTAGTTGTTGAATAGGCAATTCGAGAATAAGTAGCAAGATTAAGAATAAATTATGTCTACAACAAAATTGTGTTTGGCTATTGTGACGTCCTGCAAAGAAAAGAGGCTCAATTTGAAAATTCCTTTATATATTTTAAAAATATCATTTTATAGAAAAACTACAACAACAATTTTTGTATTTTCAAACACTTAATGAACCATGAAATATATAAAACAAATTGTGATACATGTTGCAATCAAGCATCACAAACATAAGTAAAATCATAAATACTAAATCAAGTGGAATACATCAATAAACATTAAAAGAATCTCCAAAGCACCCAAGCCACGAATCATGTATCTCTAACTGCAATTATCTTTAATACTGCTACCTAAGACATACATTAAGGTAAAGATATTGAAAAAAGTGTCCAATGCCATTAACTATTATATACATATTAATAGAAGTGCAAGTTATGAACAGTGTCAAGTAGTAGCCTCTGGTTTCCAGTTTTGTCTTATTGGTTGGGTTTGGGGCAGTCGGTTGGTATTGAGCCGGTTTGAGTTGGACTCCTTTTAATCGCCACATGTGTCACCGTTTTGCCTTCCGTATTTTCTCTATCGTTGCTTTCTATATTCATAGGGCTTTTGGCATAAGCGTTGGCGAGACATCGAGACGTTTCATAAACAATTTCACCACCTTACTACTCCCTTAATCAACAATTGACTGTGGCTTATCTGGCTTCCCCAACACCTCTCACCGTAGTTTCTACCAATAAGTTTTTGTTTTTTCGTTTATAATACGTTCACTTTCGTTATCTCTCTCTATGGATGATTTCTAACTGGCACAACCGTCCGACTGCACAAAACCACTGATGGTCCACCGGATAACCCAAGAGGCCTTTTACATTCAAGAATACGATTACCAAGTTCATGCTCCCCCTCCTTCTACCTTCTCTCTTTTCTTTGCGACCTTAATACTTTCTCTAATGTTTTAACTTTGATTATCTAACCTTTAATTTATTTTCTATTTTTGATTCCCCCTTAGTTATTGCATCCATCGTCGGCACAAAAACGATTTGAATGTTTGAATGTTTAGGCGGCGAGGTAAATGTTTTTGATTTTGTTTAAATACGATTTATTATCAATTGGTCACTTTGGTTGCATGATATGTTCATATTTTTGCTTGTAGTGACCTAATTGGAAAGTTATCCATCTAAATTTGGAGAAAAGCGATTCCTCTGTTGTATATGACTATTTATGTGTCAAGCTATCAAAAAAATTATGTCTAATAATGTAGTAAATCAGGTATCGTGTTATCTTATATGACGCTTTGTTTGATTGTTATCTCATATGATGATTTTTATTACAATTTCATTGCATCTTTGCGGTTGAAGACACATGTACAACAATATTTCATTCAGAATACTACAGTCATAAATGTAATTTGATCAATTGCATAGGTGGCTTGGGTAATAGAATGCTTTATCACTACATACGGATGTCGAATAACTTTATACTTTGACATTAGGCTCTTGATTATGAAAAACATATATGTCATGAATTCAATGTGGATAAACATCAAACTTGTAAGATATATGCATTTATAAAATATGGTTTTGTAGCATCTTAACGTTACTTTAGTTTTTGCATCATATTTAGGTAATAGTTTGTATATAAGATGTGGCTCTAATCTCTTTATCAAAAGACAATAAATCATTTCCAGATGAAGTTTGAGTAAAATACTAACAAAATATTCAGGAGTCATGTTTTTATAACCTTTGTTTAAATTTATGCCCTTAACAAATGTTTTTGTTGCCCTTTGTTTTGTTTTCAGTTGAAATGTGAAGACCAAGAAAGAGTTGAAATGGTTCTTAAATACATCGAGGATGTAGACCTTCAAAGTTGGACCTCACCATATACAAATCCAAATATGTTTAAACAGGTTTGATGCTTTTCTTAAATTTATGCCCTTAACAAATGTTTTTGTTGCCCTTTTTTTGTTTTCAGTTTTGCCAATGCATAGTCGGTTAGTACAACCCATCTATATAGAAGGGTAAAATTGTCATTTTCTTTAATTATGATCTTGATCCATTTTTAGTTGTTTCGAATCTACAAAAAGACGTTCATATTTTATATATTCCATTCAAATTTATAGTTTGGTTCATTCGTTGACTGCTTATTTATTGGATTCTTTTAATTAATCATGCGTAAATTATTGTGCTTTTTATTTCAAGAAGGTTCCAATACCAAAAACAGGTTTTAGGGAAAAACCCGGGCTTATCTCCTAATTATTAATATTTCTAATAATAGCAGTGTTTTTTGGGTCGCCTTCATGGCCCAATTGAGCAAACGGAATTTAGGATAAATTAGTTTATTAATTTGTCATGGCTTGATAAATTAATTAGAAATTAATTTGGAATTAATTGGGATTTAATTAATTCAATGGTTGAATATTAATTAGTTAAAAGTTAACTAACTAGAATATTCCAAAATCCTTAAGGGATAAGGAGGATTTTGAAAATTGCATCCATCCCACATAGGATTGGTGATGCTTTTGAGGTAAACATATAAGGCCTATAAATAGGGTATTAAGGATCACACCCTAATTGCTCATTCATTGGTTTGAATTTTCTCCAATCTCTTTTCTCCCTCATTGTGGATGATTTCCAAACTCTCTTTAGGATTTGTATAAACAATCCTTTCTCCTAGATTTCTTTGGCTAGTTCTTGGTGTTCTTGGGTGTGAACTAAAAGAAGGATAATGGCTTGGGTCCTCTTCATCCAAATCAAGGTGGTTGTTACAAGATCACAATCGAGGAATTCTCAAGACGATAAAGAAGATCAAGAGGTATGTAATACTTGTCGTTTACTAAAGTATGTTGCTATAACTAGAATGAACCTAGATCTTATTAGGTGCATGAACATATAGGAATTTTATCACACTTCCGCTGCTATATTCATGTGTTTAGATTGCTAGAAACCCCAACAAGAGGTGTGTATTAGTTTATCCGATGTTAAGATGGAGTTTTAATAAAAGTGTTTGGATTAGCTTATTTGGTACCAAAACATAATAATATGATAAGTTACTTTTTAATGTTTGACAAAGTCTATTTATTAGTGTAATAAATAAGTTATTTATCAAAAACTCATTCTTTAAGTCAATATATAATGATGAAGCAACTTATCAAAAACTCTTTATATTAAGTTAATAAGTGATTTTAACATTCACATATCCAATCACTTTGTAATACATTTTGACCCTTGGTATGAGTATTGTTTGCAATTTTGGTCCCGCATGGCATTTTTGTAAAATTTGGGAGCCGCTTGCGTACGCTGGGCATACGTGGCCTGGACCAAAACCCTAATATTTAGGGTTTGTGCACTATTTATACATCCTTAACTCTCAAGGCTCCCTTCATTCATCAGTCTCCAACCTCATATTCGGCCCTTGAAAACCCTAATCCATTTTTAGAGCATTTTTTAGCCTTAAGTGTGTATTTTGGTGATCTTGGAGGATGAAGAAGGAAGAGGAGACCATCTTAGAAGAGTGAAGCACTTTGGATCCAGAAACACATCATCATTTGACACCACTTTGAGGTAAAAAGCTATGATCTTGATGAAGTCTTGCTTAGATCTTGATTAGCCATGGATTGTGTTCATTTTGGTCTCATAAGCTTGATGTATTTGAGTATGGGTTACTCTAATTCATTTGAGTTGTCCTTTCAGACATTTTGGAGTGTTTAGAGCCATAAAAATGTAATCTTAGTCCTTTGTTTTCCCCCATGCATGGACTAGGATGTCTTAATGTGTTAAGAAGGTAGGGTTTTTAGTATTGAGAACCTAACAACCATGCAAGATCATAAAGTTGGAAACTTTATGATTAAGGACATCATTTGAGGACTAGATCTGGATTTTGGACGAAAGAGCTTAAGGGATTAAGCTCTTAATCAAAGGTGAAGCTGGTTGGAACGTACGTTGGGTGTACGTTCGAGTACAACATGTGTACGTGGTCAACAACCCGATTTTGATCAATCCTTGAGTACGCTGAGTACGTTGGGTGTACTTAGTTGAGTCAACTCGGCTGACTTTTTAACTTTGACCAGATTTTGACCAAGTTTGACCTAGGGGTATTTTGGGTATTTTGAATTATAGTTGATGTAACAACGTAAATTTTCAAACCAAAATTTTAATTTTTAAACTCAAATAAAACACATGTCACATTTTCTCAAAAATCTCAAGTATCAAATTTCAATACATATTTCAAAAATTGTTTATCACAACTCCAGGATCCTCCAAAAACATATCTAAAATGCGGGTGTGTGTACAATCAAGCCGGTGTCTTCCCGCGGTCCTGAGAAGTACCTGAAACACATAACACATAACACGGTAAGCACATAGCTTAGTGAGTTCCCCAAAATACCATATACACAAATAATAAGCCTCTCATGGCTATACTCGGGCATGGACCCTCCGGTCTCATGCGTCACGGTGTGGACCCTCCAGTCTCACGGCTCGGTGTAGAACCTCCGGTCATGTGTCTCAGTGAGGACCCTCCGGTCTCACGGCTCGGGTTAGACCCTCCGGTCCTGTCTCAGTGGGAACCCTCCAGTCCCACAACTCGGGTTGGACCCTCTGGTCCGATCTCAGTAAACACAAATATATCATATATATATCACACATATAAAATGCATAATATCACATAACTCAAATAAACACATAAGACCCTCCGGTCACACATGGATACCACTCATGGTAAAGTATAGTGAGAAGACTCACCTTCTAAGCTAGCAAGTAACAATCTCGTACACAGAATCTCGAACTAGCCTCCGCCTAACACATAGAATAATTATCTTTAATTAATACTCTACTCATACTCAAAATATACCAAAGGCCGCTCTCTCTCTCTCTCTCCCTCTCTAACTCTTGGAATGGGTAAAGGACCTTTTTACCCCTCCATGGTCTCCATTACTCATGTTGACCAAACCCTAAAGTCAACAGAAGTCAAACTCGAGTCAACAGTCCATGTTTGACTTGACTCGCCGAGTGCACCCATGTGACTCGTCGAGCCCACTCATTTCCTCAGAAGTCTCGTGAAGGTACAGCTCAACTCGTCGAGTTGACCCCCAACTCGCCGAGCTATCGTATTGTAACATCCCAAAAATGCAACCCAAAAATTTTTGTTTGAAAACATTACTAAACCATAATATCAAATATCAAAAGGTAGAAACCATGAATCGTGTGTCTCAAAATGTCATAATAAATTATCAAATCAAAACTAGTGTCAAGATCATATCAAAACTATCAGAGTCAATCTCCCAGGCTAAACTGTGGTGTGTGCCATGCCATCATCCCGAGCCCTTCCCTTTGCTAGCTGAAGTACCTGAAACCCAAAACTGAAACTGTAAGCACGAAGCTTAGTGAGCTCCCCCAAACTACCACATACCATACAATAACATATAAAGCACATACTAGGCCTTGCCCACTGCATCGGACCGAAGTCCGGAACTGCATCGGACCAAAGTCCGGAACTGACTAGGGCCTTACCCACTGCATTGGACCGAAGTCCGGAACTGCATCGGACCGAAGT